GGTCTTTGTCTCTGATGTAGCTTTGCTGTATTGAGAAGCAGCACTGTCCCGTGCCATTGGTGATGCTGCTTTATGCACCATCTACTGCTCATTCTTACCCTTTCAAAATTTTTGATGAATATAGCAATATCATTTCTGTTTCTAGTTGACATTTAATTTGCTTCTGAGCTGCTGAATGTGCATCATTCTTTGCTACTTCCTTCACTTAATCCTGATAATGCAGTGGTGTTAAGAGTAACTGGTTTATGGCGTTTTTGAGTGATGGACAAGTGGGGTTATTTTTTATGTGTGTGTGGTTTTATTAAGAGGTTTTTTATTTCTGAATGAGAGCTTCTCTCCAAAAGAGGTGTAACACATGTGATTTGATTTTTAAGTATATTGGTTTCACTTTATTGCTTTTTTCTTTTCAGATTCTGCTTGGATTCTGCCAGACAGACAAGGCAGAGACTTTCCATCAACTGGTCCAATTTTAGCTTAAAAAAAACCACCTTTGCTGCACATTGAAATGACACAATACAGGGAGGGAACCCTGCAGGAATCAATGAACGACAACTCCACTTACCTGTCCTGCTGTGCTGAGAGCTTATCTGGTCTTGAGCCAGTGCTGCCTTGCCTTGTCCCCAGTGCTGTGTGGATCTGCACTGAACCCTTTGGCCTGATAATTCTTGCGGACTGAAAAATTGCCACTTTCTACCTGAATTTGTTAGCTTGTGTGCTTGTAGTCTGTGAGTGAGACTTACTTGATTGTAGCTGTATGCCGTTGGAGTTGGAACAATAGCTCTTTTCCATCTCCTTCTGAATGCCTTGGCCTCAGAGACTTTATATTGCTTAGGCTTGGGTGGAGGCCAAAATACTAGGTTGCATCATCTGCAGTGGCTCCTGTCACTTCTGCATCTAGCTATGTTTTGTCATTCTGACTCCTGACAAAGGAATGGACCTAGTCAGTTGTGCTTTCATCCGCTCCAGAATTCTCCTGACATGACTTCATGAAAAAGAGGCTCTTATGGGACAAGTATTCCCTCAGTTCTTTCACAATCTACTGTTTAAGAGTGTACAAGTTACGCTATTTGTGTTTTGATTTTTTTCTTCCTGACTTGTAGCCAGCTTGTGTAAGAATACTTGCAGAATGAGAAAATTTAAAAAAGAACAGTACTCACACTATCAAATCTGTTATAGAGTGTATAATTGTATTAACACTGAAGCCTAACTGGCTACTTTTTTAACATATTGTTAAGTAATATTAAAATCATGTCTTTCTTTTTGAAAGATGGAATACATTAGTATGGCAGATGACTTGTGTCTTGCTTTTTTCTGCATGGGTGGGGAAAGGGAAGAAAGAAAAAAAAATTTTGCAAACTTAATATCAGCTTGTGTCAAAATTGGTCAGTGAATGCTTATCAACTTCAATATATTCTCTGTTTGCCAACTCACATGGTAGGAAAAACTATCTGCTAGAGCAAGGAAGATGCCTCCTGATTGCTAGAACTAAGTTTCTGTGAATTACTGTAATGTTTCTATTTCTTTGGATAACTTGTGAGAAAAGGTAATACAAAAATTTCCACTTTCATGTCAGTGCAGTAGTGAAGTAGGTAGGTTCAATGCTGCTGTCAGGTAAATGGTTGACAATATAGTAATGGTTTGCTGTTCCATAGTATGTCCAGCAAGAGAGAAGATGAGTGAGTTTGAGCTGTGTAAAGAAAGCACATTTAGAGAAGTTCCCTGATATTCTGTTCAGAATAAAGACAACAGAAGCTTTTTTACTTCTAGATCACCATACCCAAATTGTAAGGCAGTCTTCCTTTTTTTTTGTAAAAAAAAAAAAGGGATCTTCGACTCGGCACACATTTAAAAGTACAACACAGCTTCAAAGCCCATTAATGTCCTTTCCCAGAACTTTTACACAGTTTTCTTTCTTCTACTTGTGAACACATATTTTTCTGTGATCCTCCCCCTGGGCTTGGGACTGAATTGCAAAACACAATGTAATTACACTCAGCTTTAGACTTGGGAAGGTTTGACAGACGATTACTTTCATGTCCCCTGTGAGGCACGGATGTAGCAGGATCGGGTTGGCTGCAGACCACTGAAATATCTACAACTTCACATCCCTCTTTTTGTTCTGGGATTTCTATCCCAGTGTGTGCTCCTGGTACAGAATATATTTGCTCAGTTTATACCCAGCCATTGTAGGTAAATGAACCCTTAGTCTCCTCTTGCAGAAAAGATTTGGAGAACAATACCTGTTTTCATTATGTAATTCAGGGACATAAAAGAGACATCTTCTATTATTCTTCTTCAGATTAAAGTTGAGGAAGGGTTTAGTATCTTAGACTTGAATTTTTTGTCAATGCGGTGTTTGTCAATGGTTTTGTTTGCTTGTGCTGGAGGAATAGCAGCTCAAACCTAAAAGGTAAATATCCATGCCACTCAGCACCAGCTGTCCCAGCAGAACTAAAAAACTGTGTGCTCTTGAAAACACCTGCACCAGTTAGTGGAGAAGAATGAACTTTGTTCCTTGCAATCATGGAGGCTGTTGTAGCCTGAGTTAGACCTTTTATTTATATATATATATATATATATATATGTATAACATATTACTGGAGAGATTCCTCATGTGGAACAGTGGCTGGGGAAGAAATAAGAAATTGCTGCTAAAGTGGAAGATGGAAGCATGTGTGAAACCCAGTTTCTCACAGACTTCTTCAGTTCTAAACCATAACACAAGATGGCAGTGCATGTCATCACTATGGTAAGGATCTCAACAAATTGAGATAGGGTTGGGGAATCTGCTTGATGTCACATGGGTGAATATTGTTGCAGATCATACCTTCTCTAGAGCTGGAATACTTTGAAAGGATTTTTAATGGTGCTAGAAAACTCATTACATTTGTTTTTACTAGGAATTGGGTAAAAAAGTTGGCTTTATTCTCTACTAACAAAGCAGTTTGAAGAGTGACACATGAGTATGACTGCTTTTCGTTTTCTTGAGATCCTGGGTGAAGACAACAGAAGTTGTACTTTCTGCATTTGAGGAATGTATGTATGTATTTGTAATATCTGTCAAAGGTATCTGCCATGTGTTCCATCGTGGCGTATTGGTACACGTAATATGTTCCCACACTCGAAACAGAAAGCACCAAGAATGAGTCTCCACAGATCTGATGTTGTGCACCTTGATGAGAAGTTAAAGGCAAATCATACTTCTTTATAATAATTTCATAATTAAATGAAGATAAGCATGGTTTAGTCTGGGAGATTTGAGGGGAGGTAACCAGTGACATGGTAAGAGGTAATGGCCTCAAGTTGCGCCAGGGGAGGTTTAGGTTCATTGCTAGGAAATATTTATTCACTGAAAGGGTGATCAGGCATTGGAACAGGCTGTGAAGGAGATGGTGGAATTACCATCCCTGGAAGTATCCAAAAAATGTGTGGATGTGGCACTTAGGAGCATGGTTTTTTGGTAATGTGGCAGTGGTTGGATCAAGGTTAGACTTGATGATCTCTGAGAGCTTTTCCAACCAAAATGATTCCATGAGTATATGAAAAGTACTGGCTTTAATTCTACCACTTTGTGGCCTTGGGCAAATGAATTAGTTACTGTTACTCCATTCATTAAATGGTTTTATTAAGGATTTGCTGAATTATGAGCTTATTTCTTAATGCCTATATTAAGTAAGTAGCTATGTGAAGTCTTTTGAGGTACAACTAATTGTAAGCATAAATCATCCTCACTGGTATTTGTGTAGTTCAGATAAATTATATTTCAAGCTAACTTTGAACAGAGAAGACTTCTGCAAATTATACATCATGGCTGAGTAGGTTAAGAGTTCACATGAGAGTTGAAAGGGGAAATAATTCCAAGTTTGAGAGTGGCCTGCTTTGATAGCAGTAGTGTAGCTTATGCCCCTATTCCTTACTAAATTTAACCTGCGTGAAAGATGGAACCAAAGTTCTGGAGGTGGCTGGTGGCATATCTGTTTTATGCCTGTCTGCAGATACCAGTGTTGCTATCAGGCATTTCCTTAATGGAAGGGGGCATAACTGCACAAAATAAGTACCTTGAACAGTTTGATTTTGGATGCTCTAAGACAACGCTTAAACAGAGATGTCTTACTTCAGCATTCGCTACTGCTGCTTCCTGAGGTAATGTAACAGAGAATTCAAAAATCTTCAGCATGTCTTTTTGGTGTGGCATCATTGGAACCTAAAACTGTAGCTGAGGTTCAGAGTGCTGGCTACACAGATTTCACCATAGGCTGAAAAGAAGTTTCATGTGTTAAAAATTAATTCATATAGTGACTGTTGAGTGTGTAGGCGTTTGTTGTGCTCACTGCTGTTCAAAAAGGCTTTGCAAGTTGCCTTCGGTTTCAGAGAAAGATTAGGTTGTTTTCACTTTAGTATCAATTTGGTATCATAATGGGGAAATTTAATGGTTACTGGAGTAAATGTTTACATTAATATTACAGTTTCACACATCTCCCAGTACAAATGAAGATGTCTGCAATTGAAGAAGCTATTCTAAAAAAAACAAAGAACATCTGTTGCTCTGTTGTAACATACATCTGAGCAAGATTAGGTGTGTAGTATCTTTGTTGTCTTTGTCTCTTTCAATTTAAACCTCCAAGAAATCTGGAGACCTTTGATAGGGGAATTCTCTGAAGTGAAGTCATGGAAGTATTGATTTGAGATTCTCCTTTCTTCTTCCTGCCCACCAGAAAAGCTTTCTAAGAAGAATTCCAGTTTTCCAGATTTTCAGTGCCTTCCTAATGGCCAACAAAATCTGTCAGCTGTTACCCTGTTTGTCATTTTGTTAATCAGAAAAATACTGTATTTTGTACTGCTGCTGCAAACACCTGATGTAAGTGAACTGTCATTGAAAGGAAGATGTTTTCTCTCTTCTGTTTTCCCACTGAACAAAGAAGTAGCAATGCCAACCCTATTTTTTTGGGGGGGGTGGGTGTTGAGAATGACTAATTTCTGTTCTTCACAGGTATGTGTATTTAGTTTCAGCTTTGCTGCTGCTTTTAGGAGAGTTGGGCTTCTCCTAGTTCAGTGCTTAGAGATGTGAAAGAAACTCTGATGTACTCTGGATCAACATACCCACATCAAAAAACATGCCAGGTAAACCTATGTTTTCCTATAACTACTTTTGAGTTTTTTACTGGTTTGCATATAGAGACAGATATAAATGGGATTTTTGAAACGGATGGTGTCAATTTCTATCTTTGAAAAACCAAAAGAGTTCTATTGATTGTACCCTCTCTGATAGGTTCTTCTCAAGGATGTTTTAAAACCTTCTACTAGTTTGATTGTCTCATTTTAGAATGGCTTGAACTGGGTTTTCACACTTGAATCACAGGTCCATAGCCTTTAACATTGCTTTTTCTTGAGAAATATGCAGTCTCTTTTTGTGTTGTTATTTGTGCCTTGGGCAGAGTTGCCAGGAGAGCAGAGGGTGTGTAGTCTGAATGTTTCTTTAACCTACCTTTTCTCTCCAGTATGTCTGTGTTGCAGAAATACAGCTGTCCACAAATCTGCATAGAGGGATCCACTGGACACTTCTTTTCTAGAAATTGCCCAAAGACAAACACTCTGCCAGTGAGAAGCATTCGGGAATCTCATATCAACTTTTAACCTCCCTTTCCTTCACCATTTTTTTCTGGAAGCTGAACAGAAAAGTAAAATGAAGATCTCAGACAGTGCTGTAATACCCATAGGCTGACAATTTCAGACTCATTAACTTGCAACATGACAATGTAATGTTTTCACTGTAAATAATATTTACATCCAGCTTGCTGTCAATGAAGAGAGGAAGCAATGTGCAGGTGCAATATCTGTGAAGAGACGTAGCATTAAATGGAAGACTAAATAAAAATCTGTACTGATATACTGCATAAACTAGCATGCATTCCACACGAAATATGTCACTCAACCAGCATACACAAGTTTGATTTTCCTGAGGGAAAGATGTCTGGACTTGTTTTCCCATTCTTGTTTCCCCTAAACAGCCTGTTCACTCAAATCAAGTTGCTGCAATGGCTTGTGCTGGTTTAAGGGGGTTGGAGGAGTTGCATGCAAGCAGCATGATGTTGTCCAAGGTTGTTTTGCTTGTAGCTGAAATACAAGGTTTGAATCTAGGGGTTTAGAGTAGAAAAGCTGCAATGCCAAGCTCATCAGACCAGATGTGTGTATTGCTGCCTGCTGTTGCTTCAACAGATTTTATGCTTCAATCCACTCATCTGTATCATCTCTTGCAGGAGTGGTTCAGTTGGAAGCCTATAAACAGCAAAGCTCTCTTCTTCCAAAAGGGAGAAAACATAGGAATCAAGTCACTTGAAGTCAATTATTTGACCATACGTACCTTGTGTCATACAGTCTGTCTTCAAGACCTACCTGATACAAGTTTTTGTCCAACTATTGCTTGACTACTAAAAAAATTCTGCAGTATTGCTAAAGGCAGTTAAATTGAGGTTTTCATGTTTTTTGGATGGTTTGTTTTGTATTAAGTTGAGGGCAAGTTAGATATAACCAGCTTGCAAGAGAGGTCCTCTTGGGACAGTCTTAACAGAGTAACGGGGAAATCCAAGTTTTGAGTAACATTACATCAGCTTCTTCACTTATATATGTTGTTTGTATCAGGCTATGAGCTCTTTGCTCTTGTGAGTGAAATTTCAAGGCTGGAAGCAGTCAGAGTTGTGTAGACTTGCTGACTGAAAGATGTGATGGCTAGAAGGATTGAAAATGGGACGGGAAGTGTTCCCTGGTAGCCTAGTACCTAACATAGCAACAATACTGTTGCCTTTATCCTTTAATGCAAGGTCACCTCTGAGATTTTTTTATTTGGTATACTCTTACTTTCTGTAACAGTCTGCAGATAAAATCCCTGTGTTCTAGTTAGCAAGTAAAAAAACTTGTCCATTTGACGAGAGAATGAAAATGCAGTTTGCTGGCATTTATCTTGTATGGGCATTCTACCTTTTCCTTTTTCTGCCATCAGTCTGTCTTAAAAGCTTTAAATAGTGATGTCTCTTTCCTTCTTAGACTCTGAGTTCAAGTTTGAAAAGTCCATTTGAAGAATTAATGAACCTTTTCAGTAATGTAATTGTGGTGCATATCACTTGCCCAAGCCATTTTGTGGTCTAAAGTGAAATTCTCTTTTATTTATTCTACTCAGCTGCCTGTGAGCCGTTTTGTCATTTACATTGGTCATGCTCGTATATTTCCCCAGGTGGGGAAGCTTTCTGAAGGCAGTCTTGCAGAAAATCTTACCCTTTTTTGTATCATGAGTTATGCTTCTCGAGTCAAAAGGCATGAAATTGTGTATTGACTGGGAGAGGGGAGGGTTATTAAAATAGTAATAGTAATAAAAAAATTGTGACTGCCTGCATTATTGAAGTGTAATTATGGGAGGAGGTGGCTCAATAAACTGAATGGGTAAGACTAGAATTGTGAGGTAGAGGGCTTAAGTCTGTTATGTGATGCTCCTTACTCTGAGACCTTTTGTTTAATGTGAAGCAAAGTAATTCCTGGAACAGCCTGTTAGAGAAATCCATGAGGACATCACTCAGCTTCTCCATACTCTCTTTTGCTGCTTTTTGAAGTGGTACAGAAGCATAACAGGTAGTTGAGAACTGGTGGAAGAGTTATGTAAATGCATGTATAAAGTCAAAAGAAGTTTCACATGTTTATTAAATTTGCTGCAGAGCTACAGCTGAGGATATAATTCTAGATAAGGATATAATGAGATGAGTAAGTGGAAATGCAAGAGTTAAGCAGGTCAGTGTTCTGACTGTGCAGCATGAGAGTCAGTCATCTTGCCACATCAAGACTGTTAATATCTTCCAAGATGTTTCTTCATTTCTGTTCACATAGAGACCACCAGTGGTGATCATTACTGTAATCATTCTTCTGAAATCCATTTTTAGCCCATCTTACCAGTTGGTCAGTCCAGACTGGTCACAGCTGAGTTACTGGAGAGAGTTGGCGTATTCTCATGTGATCTGAACTTTGTGTCCTTTTTTTTGTTGCTGTTAACCAGTATAGCCTGATTTTTTTTCTCTTTCCTCATGCAGATGCCTTTTTGGACACTAATCTACACTTGTGCAACAGGAGTGTCATCGCTGCATGCCTTGGAATGCTGGAGGCGTAGGAGTCGGGCTTGAAAGGATTAGGCACTGGCAATAAATTTTGGCAGTGCCGTGGACTAGGACATGCTAATCTGTACAACACATGCAGCTCGAATAAACATGGAAGGGAAGCCTTAAAAAGTTAAAGTCATTTCCATGCAAAGGTATGTCTGTCTTTGGGTTGGAGTCCTTTAAATGATGTGGTGTAGGGAGAGAGAAGGTCTGGCATGATCTGCTGCCGGTTCGCTTTTCTCCTACCAGCAACATATGAGCCTGACGTAGTCTGAAGATTGGGTGAAGCATTTACTAAAACCAGTTGGAACCCAAATACAGTTTCAGATTGCAGTCTCCAGGCTGGCTAGCTGACTTTGTTTATTGCATAGTTTCTTTCAAAAAAATAAACCCAGCACCCCATATGTATTTCAATGGGGAGATTGTCATCTCTGCTTTGGATTTGGATTTGATGTCAATTGACACTTCATAATGTTTGGCTGTTGGTGACTTAAGCAATCTTGAATGTTGCTGTAATACAGAATCACCCAAACAAAAGTCACCCAATAAGGAAACAGTGCAGCTGGTTGAGAAATTGTGGAAGTGTTAGTGTTTTGAAATGACTGTGAGGAAAAAAACCACCACCACAAAACCTAATTCTTTTGGGGTATAGCCTGGAATGCAGTCTGTGTGTTAGGTTGCAGAAGATAATGCAGCATAAGTTTGAAAAACAAGCATATTACTTCAGTTACGTGTGTAAATATTGATGCCCTGTTTTAATGTAATGATCTAAAATAGTTTTGGTCTTAAAGGTACCATTGCTTTAACTGTGTAAGGCTTAAACATTGCATAGATGTTACCTACTTCCTCTTTATTTTATTTTTTTTTTCCGTTGTGGTAGTGTTTCATAGGCCTAAACTTCATAAGATATGCCATTCCATGGCTATGCTGAGCAAGTGTTGTACTCTGCACAACTTCAGATGCCATATCTTGTATGATAACTGAAATTAGGTAGCTGAGGGTAAATGAAGAAGGAAAAAAATTGCTATTTTGAAGTAGCTTTAAAAAAAATTTCTTCATTATAAGATTTTTAGCAATTCCTTTTTGCATTTTAACTGGATTTGTAAAGCATGTAAAAAAGATTGTTGTAAATTATTTTACAAGGTTTTGTGTCTTTGACTCTTTGGAAATGTGTTACTTTCTTTTGGTGAAATACTCTAATTTAATCACTTTCTTAAATGGTTTTTGCCCTAACCAGCTGACAGTACTTCTGGTTTATCTGGTCCATGCAATCCAGTAGCTTCATCACTGCACTAAGAATTAGTCTTTCCTAGGAGGATTATTGATGAGGATCTGAACTGTGGTAGAGATGTCTCCAGGCTGACACCGATGGTCCCACATTGATGTACATCTGGAACAAGTGAGCAGGAAAGATACAGTGCAACTGCAGTTTGACTCCATTTTACAGAAGAAGCATCAGCACAGAGATGAAACAGCTTTGCCCCAGAGTTACCTCAGCTCAGTGTACCTCTGAAATGGAGTTTGAAACTGAACACTGACATTCAGAGACCTAAGTCTGTGGCTGAATTATAAGCCTGTCTTATGTCATGAGGATTTAGACAAGAACTGTCACTGGATAAAAGAAAGGAGAAGCACTGTGAAGCATTATACTCTTGCTTTGTGGCGATTTTTGTACTATGTGTTCTCTTCTAATCCATTTACTCTCACTACCTCCCAGATCATCACATTGATCTTTCTTGCTCCTACAGACCTTGTGGCTGTGGTTCCCTGGAAATATCTGAAGAGCAATGAGGTTGTGTAAGCAGTAATGTTCTCCTCAGGCTTTTTGACAGCAGAACTTCAGAGTTAATCTTATGGGGCTTAATTTGTTCAGTTGTTACTTTGTGCATGCTTTAAGTGCCAGCACTGTGCTGGGTTCTTCTACATGTTTCTTCTCATGTGTGAGCAGTGACATCACTGAAAAGCAATGGAGTGCCCTGTGCTGTTGTCAGTAACCATGGTGGTGGGGTCAGAACAAAGTAAAAAAACTCCTCATTGTTCTCTAAACAGCATTTGGTGAGAGGAGAGAGGAGGGGTCTTGTGTTTCTCTCTTACTCATTCCTGCCACTGTAACAGTATGTCCTCTGCTGGAGGAAGCAGTCACTGGGATGGATAGGAGCTGTAGATTTCCTGTACTAATCTTTTTGGTACTAATTTTCTGTACTAATCCTTTGGTAGATTCTCATGAATTAAGAAGCACGTATGTCACAGCTGTGGCTGGATTCCAGTCCAAACCCTTAGTGCTAAGTTTTCTAGGATTGTCTCTTACTCCTGGCTTAAGTAAATCAATCTTTGGTTTTACTGTATCAGGGGGTATCAGGTTAATCTGGTTGCTGTTTTCCATCATCCATGACCACATTTCTTGCTGGGAATAGGAACTGTGAAGTGACCTTAAAACTGAGTATCACTTTTGTACTTCTAAAATAATGGTAGCTGTTACTAAATATTCTGTTTGTACACCTGAAAGGTCTTTGGTCTACAGATCACAGAACAGGCCAGTAGAGGGAATTTTCATCTGAAAGGTGTCATGAAGTTTAGCAGAAACATTTAATAAGTGAAGTGATAGGAACATTAAATGCTAATTAATGGTGTTGCTTGCATTTTGAGATCATTATTGCATGGACTGGCTACCTGATGCAGTATCACCACCTGATGCATGAGGAAGTGAATCATCATTACACATTTTATGCCTAAAAAACTCTAAATGTGAAAGACCTCAGGTAGTTCAGCTAGGGTATAAATGATCTGCAGCAGTGATTGTGGACTGTATAGAATTATAATAGTTTCTGTCTGCTAGAAATGAATTTCAGGAAAGCACATGACATGTTTGGTTCACTTTACTTTTCCTAATAGAAAATGAGAGCTTTCATCAGCCACAGGAAGTTGTGCATTGAATGAGGATTCTTGTCTCGTAGCAGATGTACTGATTTGCATGGGAGTGAGCTAATTTCCAATGATCAGCTCAGAATGGATTCAGCAAATCCAGCTAGTACATGCCATTTCCTGCTGAGAAGTGTGGAGGGAGCTGAAATAATATGTGCAAACATAGAGAAAGGATAATGGGTATATGTGAAGAGCTTGGCTGAGTATGTTTAAGCATTTTGGTCTGGTGGGATGTTATAAATGACTCAGACCCCAGGCAGGAATGAGTAAATAAAATATAACTAGAACCCGTTAAAGTTACAAAGCAAAGCTCTGAGAGCGTAGTGAGACTCTCTCCTCACCAGAGGCTCGCCCACAAAATGGCATGTCCACCTTTTATATACTCAAGGTGGAATCAGCCACATGAATATTCATGAACAGTCCTGATATGTCCTCCCATCGCCTCCCACAGTCCCTGGCTTTTCCCATAGCTGTAGATCTGGCTCCTCCCAAGGTCTGTCAGTCCTCCTGCCTTTCACTGGTGGAGCCTCTCTCACATCTTGATGGCTGTGCGGTGTTACCCTGCCAGGCCTCCCGGCACACAGTGCCCCCCACTCACTGCTGCCTCCTGCAAGGGACAAGTGTGTGTCCCCCCCAACATGTTTTGACAGCTCTGTCAGCCAGAGCTGCCAGGCAGTAACCACAGAAGGGGGAAGGGGAGGATTGAGGGGAGAACAGAAAATTGGAACCAAAATTGGAACTAAAAAACCAAATTGGAACCACAAAAGTACATGTCAAAAGAGCTGTAAACCTTAACAGAACTTCCCACCATACTTAATAACTCCTCCTTATTTGCATTAGCCAATCACTACACCTTATTCATAACATGGGATAACTTGTGATAGAATGAAAAGTTGCTTCTTAAAGCTGTTTAATGAGAATTTGCTATGAAATTTGACATTCTGGAAAAAAAAAAAATTACCAGTTTTCTCATATCTTGGTCTTCAGATGAGAAAATAGTCCTCCTTATAACCAACAAGAAAGGATATTGGACGCCTGATTTTTGTAAGGAGTGTGTGGTGCTCTTGGATCACTGAACAGTTGCTGCAAATGCAGAAGATGATCAGCCATATCACTTGCTGTGTTTCAGCTAGAACTGGACATCGCCAGGATTTTAAAAGATGTAACTGTTTTTGGTTGTGATGAGACTTAGTTTAACTGGAACAGTTAAATTGCCTTTTCAGGCTAATGTTCACCTAGGTTCAATTTGGTTTGCCCTTTTCTCTGTAACCAAGGCAGAAGCTTGGTTACACTGGATATCTAGCTTTCAAAACATACTTCATCTGAATTTCACTGCTTGGAAACAAAAATAATTTGTGTGGTTCTTGTTCTTTTGGAGTGTGGAAGTTATGGCCTGCTTTTCCTCTAGGATGAGTCACTGAAACAGCCCTTCTCCCTTTTATGGTGGCATTCTGGCAATCCCTTGTTGGGAAAGTCACCCAGGAAAGGACATACTCTGCTTGTAAGTGAGAGTGGTGTGGCCAGTACAGAAGTTTGTGCTTTGTGGCCATGGGGACTTCCTGTTTTATGTTCAGTGTAGTCTCCCACTACTGTTTTCCATTGCCAGCACTAGATGTTTAGGGATCAGCATCAGGGATATCTTAAATATTGTCCAAACTTTAAATAATTTCCATTTCTTTGTCCCTGGCATGTCATGGTTGGTGTTTCAGTGGACATGCCTCAAAGGACAGATGAGGTTTTTGAGCAGAACTTAGATGTATTCTCCAGGGAGAAAAAAAAAAAGGTGGTGAATTTTCATGTACCAATAAAAGTGCAAATGTATTTTGATACTATTCTTGTCAAAATAAATGTGACAACCAATGGATTCTCAAAGAGAGTTCTGACTCATTAAGGCAATTAGTCTGGAGTGCTGCTAGCCAGGAACCGATTAAAATAAAAACCAGATGACAGATTTGTTTTACAAGTCTGGCTTAAGTTTTGATTGCACTTCTCCCTGTGTTGGTTAAGAAAATCAATGTTTAGCAAAGATTGATAGCTCTAGAGAAAAGTCCTGGTGCAGCATGCTGCTCCTGCTGGCAGTGCTTTCAGAAGACACAAGGTGGCAGTCGGGGAAGGTCTGCATCCAGTGGCCACCAGTAATCAGGAAAGGCATCTTGCAGAGGTTTTTGGCTTCACTTTCAAATTTTGATTCTGAATGACTCAGTCTAGTTTGACAGTTCCAGGAGGCAGACTGAGGCCACACCAGTTGCAAGATGCCACCCACTGCCACCCTGCTTGCCATGCTCGTACATCAGCCCAAGGACAGGTGTGAAGGGTGGGCTGCAAACTTCTTGGGGATTGTGGTTTCTAGTGAGCCCTGAAATTCGGCAGGGTAGTCAAGTCTAGCACACATGTGTTACAGCCTGGCCATCCTTCTAGATACTCTCTAGCACCTTTGCAATGCTGTTTCAAGGGCCCAGCTTGCTGGTGCACTCTCAAAGTTGCCTCGCTGCCTGGCAATAGGTGATGATCATGGTTCAGTTTTAGAGGGCTGGATGGTTAATGACTTTCTCACTTGAATATTTAAAGCCTGGAGAGCCTACAAGGAGAGGTTTGATTCTGAAGACTGCTTTTGAGCATGCCAGACTTGAAGAGATTCATCACTGCACCACCGCTGGCCAAAGGCCAAAACTCTAAACTGCAGTGCTAAAACTCTGCTCTTTCAGAGGGTGTCCCCTCCCACCACTAGTGGATGAGATGGAGAGCGACAAACGAACGTAAAACCAGCTGTGTCTGGATCCACTGGGATCCTTCCACACTAAACAGAACCATAAGCTATCCCTTAACACTTAACTCAGGTGCTAAAACAAAATACCACCTTTATTCAGTTACTCATGTGCCTCTGTTCCAGATCAGAGGATTCTTGGGCTCTGATACCCTCTGGACCACAGCTGGGGCCCCCTGGGGGTGCCAGCAAGAGTCAGGGGCAGGAGCTGGGTGTTCCTCTCTGGCCGAGGCTACACCCAAGAGGGACCACAGGTCACACATTTCCACACTTTTATAAAAGTTTTGGTCCATTTACATACTGGGGTTAATTGTCCAGTTACAGCTTCAGGTTATGAAGTCCCATTGTCCCAGACTGCTCTCCTCAGTTTGCTGTTGTTTCTACTTTTTGGGCCTGAAGCTGCAATGGTGTCCTTGGTTCTTGGGCTGGAAAAGAATTGTTTTGTCTAAATAAACTGTGAGGAGATCTTGCTAACAATTTATATGAACTTCAGGGTTATATTTTACACAGTACAGAATCTGGAAGACATGAAAGCTAAAACTTAAGGCATCACTTTAGTCAGAGGCTGAACCCAGGAAAGCTGTGTAGCAGGAATAGCAATAATTCAGGGCAAAAGATACTTGGGAAATTCACCAGTCCAGCCTCCTGCTGGAGGATCAGCTTTGAGGTGGGATCAGGTTGCTCTGGTCTTTATCTGGTTTTACCTTGAAAACCTTTCAGAACAGATAGCGAAACACTCTGGGCAATCTTCTCACTGATTTATTTGTTTTAGTAAATTGGCATTCTATTTGTTATTATTGTTCATTTACTTTCTAGTCTTTAGATTAATCTCTCATGTCTCTGGTTTTACCAACAGAGACAGAAAGCTTATTTATGGCTTCTAAGGAAGTTCTGGGCAGGGAGTGGGGATTAACCCATGCGTTGCAAGAGTTTCAAAGTGAAACAAAACAGCATTGCCATTATGGAGCACCTGGTTTACATCAGTCTAGAGATCATATTCCTGTGGCAGATTTTTCCTCTATGTGATGATAATGGTGTAGGCAGTGCAACCATAGTGTTTGTTTGTGGTGGAATATTGTATTAACCTGGCATGTGGTGTGATATGTTTGTTAATACTGGCTGGTTTGTTGATGGGGAGCCTTGTTTCAATTTGGCTGCATCGTAGTTGTCAGGTCTTTCCCTTTATAACCTACTCACTCTGTGCAAGTTACATTAAGGAAATAATAAATTAATGGCAGTGGGCTTTCCCTAGCTGAAATTAGCTGTTGACCTTAGAGTACTATAAAGTACATCTGCAAAAAACCCCTGCCAGTTTTCCAGGTGGGCTTGAGGAAGGCTCTGAGTGGCTTTTTGTGAGTTAATGTCCGGAGGAGGAGTAGTGGAGATGGTGTGAATGTTATGTGTTTTGCTACAGGAGCTGGTAATTGCTTGAATGAGTGGACTTCCTGATTCAGAGGTAAAGAATGAATGGTCTCTCCTCACAGTTTCACATTTATTATAAAAGGTACTTTAGCAGCTTGGTGGTGTCTGCAGCCCCACGCAAGGGCTGCCTAGACAATTGTTTCCACTGCTTGAGAAAAAGTCCATCTGACGCACCAATGGGAAGTTGACACTTTCAGTTCATTAAAGTGAACATCTATGAGTGCATGTACTCAGCTGAGAATGTTTCAGCTTCTAAGAAGGGTCTGAAAAAGGCTTAAACTTCAAAAGCTTTATTGTCCAAAAGCACAGATTGTTACTGCTCAGCTCCCTCCTGCTGTAGCTCTGGGACTAATTGTGTAGTTGGTATTTGATTGTTGCAGCAGGCTTGCCTTAGTCCTTGACCTTGCTTTATTTAAAAATCATAACTAAAATGGTGGCTTTCTGTGTTTGCAAGGTAATAATGAATTTGGAACATGTAAAGGAACTTGCCTGGATGATAGTTCAGTGAAGGGACCTTTACAGAGACCTGATAATATACTGATGTTTCACTTAAATTTAAATATTTTTCTGTTTTGGTCTCTTCACAGAGCTAATATACCTGTCTGTATTTTTCCTTCAAATTGGCTATTACTGTGCTCCACTGGAAGGTGCCCCTGTAGGGGTTTTTCCCCCTCTATTTTGTTCTAATGGTTGCTCTGACGTACTCTAAGGGGACTTTTTAATATTAGAGTATAATAGGATTAAATTTCAGCCACCAAATCTCTGATGTAAACCCTTTGGTAATGAGGGAAGCAATGATATCAGCTTTTCTGCTATGGTTTAGAGGGCAGCACTATGTTTGGCCCCATCTTGTTCTCACCTGAGATATTGCTGTCTAAAACCATAACTCTAGAGATGTCAGTATCTGGCAGTAGTGTATATGGATAAGATCTGTTAGTGAAATTAAAGTCACCATTTTGGGTAAGCGTTGTTATGTCTTCTGTCTTTGAAATACACCAGCTTTTTAGCTTTGGCATAGTTGTGGTTAAGTTGTGACAGGGTGAAATGACACTTTGTTTCTTCTTTGGATAGCAAGAGTTAATGGTAATCTCTGGGAATTTTAATATAGCTAATTCAGGTTAGAAGGGACATCCACAGGTCATCTAGTCCAGCCTCCTACTACCTTTTGTGATGTTTCATTTGCTGAAGTAGCCCCTAATGCACTTTTTCTCTACTTTGGGTCATGCTGCACTTGCATAGACTCTGCCCCTACCTTTAGGGAGACCTGAGAACAGACTTTCCCAGCCAAGCCGATGTTTCATACCTTGGTAGGGCTTTTAGTGTTCTTTTCTCTTGGATCAATGTTTTCCTTACTGCTGAAATATTTCTTGTTGCATTCTGCACACCTTTTATGTTTCTTTTCCAGATAAGCTTTTATTTTCCTGCCTTCCTATGTGCTCAGGCATTGTCTCAGTCCTCCAAGTAGTCTGTCCCCACTTCCACCTCCTGTACACTTCCTATTAGAGTTTGAGCTCAGTCAGGAATTCCCCTTATGCGGAGCTGGCCGCTTGCCATGCTTGCTTGACTTCCTGCACATCAGAATGGTCTGTTCTGCTTTAAGAGGTTTTTCTTGGAGATCAGCTGGCCTCCTAAGTCCCTTTGCCATAGCTCCACTGGGCTCCTGCCTGCCAGTTCCCTGCACAAGTATAGATCTGCTGTTCCAAAGCTCAAGATCTCTATTCTGCTACCCACCTACCTCACTTCTTTCAGGATCTTTAAATCACCCTCAGGACTGCTGCAGCCAAGACTGTAATCAACTTTCACCGCTTTAACTAGTTTATCTACATTAATGAGTATCAGATTAGAGAGGTGCCTCTCTTAATTGACTTGTCTATATCTTTTATGAAGAAGGTGCTCTTCAGGATAGCTCTCTGGGATTACTTACACCCTTCCTTGTTTCCCCCCCAGGCAGATACTGGCAGGTGAACCCCCCCAGAGGGAGTCATAGAATCATTAAGGTAGGAAAAGACCTCCAAGATAATGGAGTCCAACCTCTGACTGAGCACCACCATCAACTAAGTCACAGCACTAAGTGCCACATCCAGTCATTTCTTAAACACTTTCACAAATGGTGACTCCACCACCTCCCTGGGCAGCCTGTTCCAATGCTTAACCACCCTTCCAGTGAAGAAATTCTTCCTGATGCCCAACCTGAGCTGCCCTGGCACACCATGAGTTTCTGTCCACTTATCCTGTTTCTGACAGAAACAGGGCCTGCAGTCAAAAGGCTTCTTCTCTCAGCTGATGACAGCTGATTTCATCAACTTTCTCCTGGTTTTGGTGGCCTGTATCAGACCATCCATCCACCTGTCTGTCCGTCCCAGTAGTGCAATCATGTAAATTATCCCACCCCCTCATCTCCTAAAAATATCACAGTTTTGTGCCCGCACGCAGACTTCCAGTTTCTTCTGTTTTGAAGTGTTTTTTGTGTACAGGCCCTTCAGAGATAGCCCAAACCTAGAGGGTGGGAAAGGGAGAGTCTTGGGAAGAGAGTAGGGACACTAGCTGCTATTTGTTCCTTTTCCTTTTCTGTGGAACAGGTTATGGTGTCACAATGTTAACCTTTTTGTGAAGCAAAGAAGCTGCTCCACTTGTGTAGGAAATGTCAGGAATATAATTCCTGGGTACTGTGAATCCTGAGAAAAAA